CACTGCACCCAGGGCTTGCTGGATGCTTTTAAAAACAAAGCCTTGTCTGGAAGTGCCTTGAGATATCCAACGCTCGGTGTGTGTTACAGACACCTGCCATGGCCCACTTGAAAAGAAAAAAGTAATAAATCCCAAACTCAGAGCTGAGCCCGTGGGTTTTCATTCCCATCATTTCATGCCAAGGAGCACAATGCTCCCGGCAGGCCACAGCGCCCTGCGCTAACACGATTAGCCAGGCAGATCCACCACCCGCATCCGGCACCCCCAACGCTTGGTCAACTTTGAAAAGTTCAGCAGCTCAACAGGTGAGGCCATGAAACCCGATCACAACAGACAATGTCATCCCCCCCAGCGTCGTGCTGGGAAGAACTTGTCACGTGCGTCATATCGAGCAACATGCTGGAAACAGAGCAGTGCACTGAAACCCCAGCAACACGAATAATCTTTGCCATCTGTTTGAACAACTCAACCCTCCTCAGATCTAAAGGAATGATCCCATGCAAACACAAGGGCCTTGCTGACTGATTATAGCAGCCCAGCCCTTCTTTTTGGGGGCCATTTTCCTCCCAACATTACACAGCAGCTCAGGACACGCCATAGGGAGTTGCTGCAGTGGCCAAGGGGGCTCTGAACTCCATGCACATTCTGAGGGGACCATTAAAAGTCCCCACTTGCTTAAGTACAACACAATGCAAGGTCAGTAGTTGAGTTTTAAATTTTTTTTCACATCAAGAAAATGAAATCTCAATACCGAAATTGTTTGGCAAAACCTTCCCAGAGAACACAACTGTCCTTTAGGAGATGCTTGTTCTGACCCAGCACAACTCACAGGAATGCAGTGGAGGAACCAGTTTTTGCTCAGATGCAGTCATTTGCACCCAAAGTCCAGTTGGGAGTATCAGGACTGTTCCCAAACTTCCTGGGGCCAATAAACCATGTGATACTCAGTGGAAACCAAACACAGTTCTGTCTGTGCTGCTGGGTCCATCTACCACTGGGAAGGCAATTAAGCAGCAAGTATTAAATTTTCATTAAAGCAGAGATTATAGACAATGTTCAAACACAGGGGCAAAATCCTGCCTTGCTCAAGATTTGGTTCATCAGGGCTTTCACCCCAAACTTTTAACCTTATTCTTCCCTTGCTCACAGCCCGACCAATTGCAAGCACCAGCTTGAACCCCCACACATTCCTTGGGGAAAAGAAAGGAGGCTTATGGGGAAAAATATAAAAAATAAGGAAGTTTCTCCCAATTCAGGAATTGCTTTCAAGCAGCACTTTGCACCCTAAAGTCCAAGCAATTTCGGAAATGCATATTTGAAACAGTTTATCACACACCACCAGACCACAGGGCCCGATCCTACTGATCCAAATCACCCAGTCTCAGCAAGGACAATGAATTAAGGCAACCTAGGAGTAGTGGGAAGACAAAGCACCATCATTTTAAGAATTTTCCATAAGAGAGAAGAGGAAAAAAGGACAAGAGGTCTCCCTGGTGCACTGCTAGAGGCAGAGGAGCTCAGCTTAGTCCTGCTGTCGCAGTTACAGCCGGCACAGCCACGGCACACGGGTTCCTAGCAGAGAGCTACAGACTTGAAACAGAAATCAGTGATGTTGACTAGGGCTGACAACACCCAGCCCAAGGCAGGAGGGACTGGGCATTACAGCCCACTGGGCTGAAAATAATAACAAAAAAGGAAAAAACCCAAAATATGTAACACTAATGACAATAATTTTTTCTTACAATAACTATAGGACAACAGGCTTTCAAGTCCATATGACATTTCAAAATGCATCATTGTTGACTCAAATGAAAAAAACATAAAAGAAATTCAACAACTGATTCTCTAGACTTGGAAGAAACAATTTGTTCCTCCCCACCAAGCTCTACAGTAAACCCTAAAGAGAGCAACGACATCCCTGAGGCTGCTCAGCCAGACACATGCACACAGGCTGTGGAGCTGAACTCCCTACTGCCACAAAGAGGGAACTTCTCTACTATCCAAAAATTCAAGGCACTTCATAAAATTAGTTTGCAATAGTGGCTGGATCCCATTCCTCCTCTGTCATAGTACATATTTTCACTAGAAGAAGTTAACATGATGTATGCATTACAGGGGAGGGGGGAAGGGGGAAGAAAACCCTGCAATGTGCATACAGAAGTTATTTCCACCAAATTTTAGTTATCTCACTATCAGAAAAAAAAGCATTTAATTTGTCCTATTTTCCCCCTGCTTTTCAGGAATGATACTCAGCACCACTCAATGGCTCTCTGCATTCCACGCTATGGAAACAAACCAACAGATTTCATTTCACTTGACAGAAAGTGAAGCGAGGAACAAATTTGTGTTGCCTCCTTCTAAAGTTATTTTCAATAGATGAAAACCTCAGGCAGAAATAAGATTTCATCAAGTTAAACAAGTAAATCTCATGCCCCTCCATCTTGAAAATCTGAAAAAGAAGATTTTGGATGGTAGGGACAACTTAAACAAACAAAAACTCCTAACAAATATAAACAGATTTAGCCAATTAGGTAAAATACCCTTCAAATGAGACATGGGTCAAAAATTCTATCGTCATCTTTTCAAAGTCAGGCAATTGGATTTGCACTGCACTCCGGGTGCTGAGGACACAGTAACTCCCCCAGTTCCAAAGTTCAGTAGATTTGAGCAAAAGCATCTGAAAAATAAAGATGAGGCTCGCCCAGCTCACTGCACAATGCTGACACCACACACCTTTTACAGCATCTTTAATCCAACTGCACTGAAACACTAACAAGAAAATATAAACACATCTCTTTATTGACACTAAGATAATAAATAAAAACCTCATTATGTCTGGAAGAAATAAACATGTTCTCGAGGAGTGCTGGGAAGCCAAGATTGACTGAAGTCAGCAAGAGCTTCGAGTTACTACTCTATAGGATCTGACTTCTAAGGACTAAACTTACAGAAACAAACTACTGCATCTAATTCTAATTAAGTTAGAAACAATGCACAATATATAACAACTTGTCTGCTGATTTTCATCCTCTCCCAAGTATTCTGCACTATTTAGTTCCCCCCCAAGTGATCCGGGTCCCAGTTCCACAGACAGCCAGACACACTCCCATCTTCGGGGTGAATCACACACGACTGATTTCAAGATTTCCAGCATCTCTTGCTGCTTGAGAGCATCACCATTCAGACCTCAAGATTTGTCAGATCTCAGCTGAAACAGCCCTTTTGCAAAGATACTAATGAAAAACCAGAGTGTATTTGCAGGGATAGGGCCCATGCTGCTTAAAATTCAGCAGCTGATAAGGTGAAGCTTTAGGAAGTTAAACACAATACCTGCTCTCCAAATTTAAAAATAATGTATATCCTTTAAATATTGGTTTTCACCCACTACATCTGGGATAACAGATGAACTCAATCATAAGCATTATTCTCTCCTTCTCCCCTTCCACCTCCTACTTGTAAAAGATTAATCAACCATTTTATGGTCTAATTTAGGTGTCTAATTAAAAACAGAGCTCAACACATACAACACCATTTTGCTGATAAATCCTGACAGGTTTTCTGCTCTGTTATACGCAAGTTCTCCTTCAAAATATGAGATTTTTAAACTCAGCTGAATTTACAAACGTTTCATTTGGGCTGCTGTGGGACAACGCGCTACAGCCTTCATGAGATGACAGAATGTCCTAAAACGAAACAGCTTTCAAAAATTACTTCCTCCTCATCAGATCTTATCCTGCACTCATTTCACTAACTGCTGGGGGATGGCAACATTTAAAAAAAAAAAAAAAAAAAAAAAAAAAAAAAGAGAGACATAAACCTAATCGGACTTGTCGGGTGGGAGTTTCAAGACTACAAAGAGGTTACAATTCGTAACTTCACAGCTTCATCTAGCTTCAAAGTTTCCATCTCGGCTTCTTTAGCATTCCTGTAAACACTCCGCAGAAAGACATATTCAAAACACTCCTGATAAAAGAACTTCAATCGAAAAAGGGTGAGAAAGGCACCGAAGCGGGGGTCGCCCCTCGTTCGGTGTCCGATCGCGCTTCTCCTCCGCACCCACCGCAGCCGCTCCGCCGAGCCCACCCGCACATAGGCATCCCGGACCGGGCTGCTCCTCGCAAAATCACTGACAATTACATCCATCCTTACAGGATGCAAGCCAGAAATTTATCATTTTCTCCCAGCGCAAAGGGTTCATCCCGTTCCCGACGCGCCCGTTACCCACTACACCCCGCACCGCTCCCGCAGCCCAGCGCCGGGCTGGCGACCGCGACCTCGGGCGACCGATCAGCTCCAGAGATGGTCACGGGGAAGGAAAAAGTTAACGGAGACTGAACGCAGGCACCGAGTGAGGAAGTTTTATTTGGAACATGGAGCTACCGCCTGCCAGTCCCAGGCAGCGCTCCCGGAACGGGTCAAACCCCCGCCAAACGTGTAAAAAATTCACAAACGGGTAAATTCTTCCCACCTCGCCTCCCCCGCACAAAAAAGGGGAAAAAGAGAAAACGGGTCAAGTCCTACCCCAATGGGTACCAAAAAACCCCAAACCCAAGCGGGTAAAAAACCCCGCGAACACGCGGCCGCTGGGCGCATCGCCCGCCGGTCCGTGCAGAGCCGGGAGACGCACCAGCCATCCCCCAGCAACTCTCTGGGCTGGAGGAGAAGTACGCTCCAGCAAAAGACCTGGAAGTACAGCGGAATAAGAGAGTTTTAAAAATATTAAATTAATATGCAACCTTTATAAAAAAAATTAAATACTGTTTGGCTCGCGGAAAACCTACAGACGCTCCGCCGCCGCCTGGGCTAGCGGGGACCTCAAGTTGCGCTCTGGGTTTATTATATTTTTAGGGCTTGTTCTTTGTGGGGAAAGCATTTAGCGGAACATTTACTCTTGCCCGGGCGCTCCCCAGCCTGCTCCGGAGCCGGGGCGGCCGCATCTCCGCACCGGGGCGGCGAGCGCGGCTCGGCTGGGACCCCGCTCAGCCCGGCCGGGCCCGTACCTGTACCAGGCGAGCCCCCGCTCGTAGTTGCGGTCGAAGAAGTGCGGCTCGGCGCCGACGGCGCGCACGTCGGGGTGCACCCGCAGGAACTCCAGCAGCGCCCGCGTCCCGCCCTTCTTCACGCCGATGATGATGGCCTGCGGCAGCCGCTTGGTACCGGAGCCGTTGAAGAAGCTGGAGATGGGGCTACCGGCGTCGGGCGCTGCCCGCTGCTCCTCCAGGCTGCTCTCCTCGCTCGGCTCTCCCGGCAGCGGCGGGGCGGCGCGGGGCGGCGCGGGGGACCCGCGGGTCGTCAGCCCGGCGCAGGAGCCGGCGCACGAGTAGAACATATAGAGCCAGAGGAAGAGCATGATGAAGAGCAGCAGCAGCCTCCGCCTCAGCGGCGGCAACGCGACGGGGACATCGAGGCAGCGGTTCAAGCGCTGCCCCATGTGCCCGCGGGCGCAGCGGGATGCATGGCTGGAGCCCGCCCGGCTCGGCTCGGCTCTGCCCGGCGCCTCATGGGCACCCTGGAGCCTCAGCACAGCCCCATCGCCGCCCGCCCCGCTGCGCTCCGCTCCCGCCGCGGCAGCGCCGGCAGAGCCGCGGGGCGGGGCGGCACGGGCGGCGCCCGCGGCCAATCACAGCCGCGGGTTCTCGCATAATGAGGAGGGGCGGGGCTAGAGGAGCGGAGGGCGCGTTGATTGGCTGCTGGCAGGAGGGGCCGCACCCCGGGGCGGTCCGAGGGCGGGACGCTCGCTCCCGCCGGGATTCCCGTGCCGTGTCCCCCCGCCGGGAATGGCCGGCCTGGGGCAGGCACTGCGGGCATCTCGGTCACCGCTTCCTCCTCCTTATCCCCCAACACCGATAGCAAGGTTGCCAGGGAGACTTTATTGTGGTCTTTCAGTATCTAAGTGGGGATTATAAAATAGGTGGGGACAAACCTTTTAGCACAATCAAGGGATAATGGTTTTAAACTGACAGAGGGCAGGGTTAGATTAGATATTAGGCAGAATTTTTTTTACCAAAAAAAACCCCAAAAGATAGAGCACTGCCTGAGGTTGCCCAGAAAAGCTGTGGATGGCCCATCCTTGCAAACATTCAAGGCCACGGTGGATGCAGCTTGGAGTAACCTGGTCTAGTGGAAGGTGTCTCTGCCTGTGGCAGGGGGCTGGACTGTATCACCTGTAGTGGTCCGTTCCAACCCAAGCTATTCTGTGATACTATGATTTGCCTGTTTTGTTGATGAGTTGGCTTTTCAATCTGCTGCACCTTCTGTTGTGCTGTATTTTCTAAAATCCCTGCCCATAAAAATTCCTGGTGAGATTTGCCACGGTCCACATCATGGGAGTAACACACAGAAACCAAACCCAACACAACAGTCCTGCAAGGCAAACTCAGATAATCTGTCTGAGGAGATCCTTCCTGCAGTACCATCAGCTATGGGACCCTCCTTTCCAGGACCACCGCTCCAGTGTTCTCCAGGGATGGAGATTTTCACATTCCATGGAAGTGCTTTAGCCAGTATTCTCCCAGCAATCACATAACTTACAGCTCCAACACATTTGGGCAGTTTTTCTATCCTGTTTTTATTAAAATATGTGTACATGTTTTTACAGAATTTGCTGCTTTCAGAGCACTTTTGCTTTGAGAGTGAGGTTTTGCTGAAACCTTTTTTTTTAATTTTCCCCCAAACTAGAGGAGAATCTTTTCACCATGAAAAGCCTTAATTTTTTGTGTCAGAAGCAACAGCATTATCCTGACTTATTCATGTATCAACTGTATATCTATCCCTAAACTGGTACATAACAGTGAAATGTTTCTATGACACTGGCTGTGGTGTGAGAATCTTGTAAAATAATCTGAAACTACAAATTGTGGTTTACAAACTACTTAAACCAAGCAGACTGAAGAGGGAAAATAAGACCCTGAGAGGTGTATGACTTCTCTAAAAGCTGCTCAGTGGGTTAACACAGAGCTTGGGCCACCCAGTCTCCATCAGTACCAGTGTCACTCATCCCTATTCCTCCCAGCACCAAGTATTTGCAAAGCAGATTTTGGGATGACATAAGGAGAAATTTTGTACTTCAGCTACAGAGTCAGCAGCAAAGAATTCCAACGTTTCTCTGCTATGAGATAAAATAGGTGGCCCTGCTGGGCTGTGTGAGTGAAGGGTGATCCCAAACCAAGCAGAGATGCAGGTGCCAAGCTGTGGCAGGAGGAAGGAGGAATTGCTTTCCAGTTTCCCTCTGTGTGCTGGCAAAGCTCTGCCAGCTGGCCCAGATGGATAATTGTGAAGAGGATTAAAGAGGACAGTTCCTGGCAATGCATGAATCACAGCTGTGGGCAGCAATTGTTCCATGCATGCCTCTCCTGCACCCGGGTTTACTCACCTCTGCACTTGGTGTTTTGTACAGTTCCAAACAGAAAATCTGCTGCTTCCACACATGGGTTGCTCCACTGCATGTTCCTACACCCACGAGCTAACAGGAAAACCCTTCAGATGGAATAATACTTCTTGTTCTTTACAGCCACCAGCACCAGCCAGGATAAGTGTTACACAAAGTTTGGATTAAGCCTTTAATATCTGTCAGCTGCAGCTTGTAAAAGTTGGATTGGCTTTTTAAGAAAAATAGCCCCAAGATAGGTTTTACTGGAATTGTATCTTCAACAGTTGGGTGTCAGGAGTTTGCCCCTTAGGAATGGCAAATGGGTAAGTGACTAGAAGAGCATCCATGCAGAGGTACATCAGGAGGAGGGCTGGGCTTTCTGTGGAACACGGAGTTGGCGTGAGAGAGGTTTTGACCAGTGGCTTGGGAACCAGTTGTGGCTCCATCCTCCAGGCTGACCCACTGGCTGCAGCAGGAGCCCACACTGCTGCTTGGCAGAACACAGGCCACCTCCATTCCTTAACATGCTCCAGGCAGCAGTTGTGGCAGAAGCATGTGTGCTGTGGCCAAGCTCAGCCACTGGCAAGGCAAGTGCCCAGGGCTTTATGCAATCTCTCTGCACCCAACTCCAAGTGCCACATAATGCTTTAGAGCCCTCAGCTGTGGCTTCGTAACCCCACCACTGACCAGGGACACCCCAGGAACATCCTAGGGAGACCCCAGGGACACCGTTGCCTCTCACAGTGTCCCGCTGCCTTGTCCTGGGCATGCTCCCACCAGGGCCATGGGTAGCACTGCTGTGCAGATGTAAGAGGAGATCTTGTTTCTCTTAACCTGAAACCATTTCCTTTCCCCCACTGCACTCCCTCCCCTTGTTCCCTAATTTGTCCCTGGGGTTTTAATATCTATTTCTCCAAGTGCCATAAGCCAAATTTACTGCTCACATAACTGCACTGACTTCAATGGAGAAGAGCATTTAGGGTGCTCCAAGGAGGTGTAAGTAGGAGTGATGTGATGGAATTGAGTAAAGGAAAATATAGTCTGACTGTCAAGAAGAGTTTCCTACCAGTGAAATCTATAGACTGTGGTAGTTTCCCATGGGAACGAGCAGAAACCAAGTTGCTGAAGTCGTTTTAAACCAGCACAAGAGAATAGGAAATCAGCCCTGTAACTGGCCAGAAGGAGGGATGACATCATGCTACTTCTCCGTCTCTCATTTCTGTGGCTGCATTGCTTTGTCTATGAAATTATTTTAACACAACTGGATTTCTCCTTCTTTTGGGTGATGGCCCTTGCTGCTTTTGAGAAGTTTCAGTTCCTCTGCCCTGGATTAAATTCTGCCCTGGATTAAAGCAATACCCACTGCAGCCCCCATTAGTCTTTCTCTTATTTCTACTACTTGCAAACCCCTTCTGGGGTCTTCTCAGGCTTCTTCCCTGACTTACCCGAGCCTCTGGCTCCAGTCCTGTGCTTACTGAGCTGTACAGAGTGGACCAGCCATTGGGAATAGAGGGAGGGCTCATCCAGGCCATGTGAGGCTATGGATGGTACCAGACATGGAGCTGTAACTCCATGCTGCTGCCAAGCAGAAGACACCCCCATGGATGGAAATCTTCCTGCTTTCAGAGATTCTTCAAGTAGATTTCTTGTAGATAACTTACTGGAAAATCATCAAGGAATGATTTTCATCACTACATACTTCCGTCATTATATATTTTCATCATTCTGTATTTTTGTCATAAAGGAAAGATTTCCATCAAGGCACATAGGGAAATGCTGCTTTCCCTGGTGACCTCTGGCTCTGGTAGCCCCTGCGTGCCTAATTTGGGCTCTGTAGATAAAACCAGGGCTGCAGATGCAGTGGCTGTGCCCTGCTACCACCCAGTGGCTCTGGCAACCTCTTGTCCACAGAACTTCCTAATGTATTTATAAATGACTTAACATTTGCTCACTGTCTCAGCAAAGCTCTAGTGCGAGCAACCTCCTACCTCACACAGTTCCCAGATAATTACAGATTAGAACCAGCTAATTTTTATTTTTGTAAAGCTGTCAGAGATCTATGTTTGTTATTATTGTCTCCTGGGTTGCCAGTTGCATAAATACATATGTAAAACCCCCTTTGATCTCTAAGTATAATGACACAGATTTATCAAATGTTTGCCTTTTTCTGTCTCTTGAAAAGGCTGATTTATGGAGTGCAGTCCCTACCTCCCTTCCTCTCTTGAAATATGAAGTGTTTGTGATCAGCCAAGGTAATATTTAATATCCTGCCAAGAATCCTTTGCACTTCCTAACAAATGAACTACAACCTAACCAAATGGTTCACATCTGCTTAGCCTCTTCTTTTTAACTAAACAAATTAGCATTAGAATACCTGGGAGGAACACAAGGTCCCTTTCTAGATGACAGAACACAGACAATTATTAGCAAGGGGAGTAACTGTACTGAAAGGAGCAGGCATGGACCTAACAGATGTTTTCACATCTCCTGTAGTGTCCATGAATGACCTGCACCACAGTGGACACACTGCCATGGCCTTTTGAAGTGGGTGAGGAATCCATTCACAGTCACCTTCTGAATGAAATTAAAGGCACCGGTCCCAGTGAGTTAAGTGTTCCATTTAAACCACTTCCAGCAAAGACAGGTTTTGCTGGGGGAATGGCTTTCCCCATAAATGGCTAAAATAAAGAGCATCACCCCACTCCTCCCCACCCACAGACTCGGGGTACTCAGGAGGCAACAGCTCTGGTTTTATTTCTGTTTTCACTATTTCTGTTTTCACTGCTTTCTCATCCCAAGAGCATCAAACCACCCAGTCACACCACCCTTCCTCGCTGGGAAATAAGGTGTGATGGGTTATTTGGGGTTTAGGAGAACACAAGACACAAATGAACAACTGCAAAGTACAGTTGGGATTATTACAGTCTCCTACAGTCTGCACACGGGCAATTACAAGTTCACGCCCTTCCAACTACACAGTGCCTTCCAAGCACCCTTATTCCCACTGGGGTCCCAAACACCTTTGAATCAAAGGTTCAGGAGAGGCTCTGGGGAGGACGTGGGGCAGGACAGGGTGAGACAGGCTCTCCACTGAGCACACAGTTAATTGGATTCATCGCTGGAGGAGGGAGCCAAAGGAAACACATGTGCTATTAGGGCTAACACTTAGCTTTTATTGTAAATGTTTTGGAAAAGAAAACACTCT